TTTATATGGAGTAATTTGCTTGTATTTCTTCTTTAAAAAAACAGCAATGAAAATATACAATCCATGCACATATATATACAATATTCTGTTTTATTTCTACTGTGGATATTTTTATCATCTTGTTCTAGAAAGTGTGAGAAGGATTAATGATGTCACTAATGCTTGCTGGTATGGGTTTTTCACAATGTAAAACACATCTCAAATACTTTTACTGATAGGATAAGCAGGCACAATCCTATGAGCTAAGCTACAGTCAAATATGTAACATATGCCAAAACAGATACATAGACCAGTGGAACAGAACAGAGGCCTCCGAAATAATGCCACACATCTACAACCATCTGATCTTTGACAAACCTGACAAAAAGAAGCAATGAGGAAAGTATTCCCTATTTAATAAATTGTGTTGAGAAAACCGGCTAGTCACACGCAGAAAACTGAAAGTGAACCTCTTCCTTATACCTTATACAAAAATTAACTCAAGATGGATTAAACTTAAATGTAAGACCTAAAACCATAAAAACTCTAGAAGAAAACCTAGGCAATACCATTCAGGACATAGGCATGGGCAAAGACTTCTTGACTAAAACACCAAAAGCAATGGAAACAAAATCCAAAATTGGCAAACGGGATCTAATTAAACTAAAGAGCCTCTGCACAACAACAACAAAAAAAACTATCATCAGAGTGAATAAGCAACCTACAGAATGGGAGAAAAATTTTGCAATCTATCTGACAAAGGGCTAATATGCAGAATCTACAAAGAACTTAAATTTACAAGAAAAAAAAATCCCATAGAAAAGTAGGCAAAGGATATGAACAGATGCTTCTCAAAAGAAGACATTTATGCAGCCAACAAACATATGAAAAAAAGGTCATCATCACTGACCATTGAAGAAATGCAAATCAAAAGCACAATGAGATACCATCTCATGCCAGTGAGGACGGCGATCATTAAAAAGTCAGGAAACAACAGATGCTGGAGAGGAGAAAATAGGAATGCTTTTACACTGTTGGTGGGAGTGTAAATTAGTTCAACCATTGTGGAAGACAGTGTGGCAATTCTTCAAGGATCTAAAACCAGAAATACCATTTGACCCAGCGATCCCATTACTGGATATATACCCAAAGGATTATAAATCATGGTACTATAAAGATACATGCACAAGTATGTTTATTGTGGCACTGTTCACAATAGCAAAGACATGGAACCAACCCAGATGCCCATCTATGATGTCTGTTATACACATCTCCTTTCTTTTTCAATGATAGACTGGATAAAGAAAACATGGCACATATATACCATGGAAAACTATGCAGCCATAAAATGGATGAGTTCATGTCTTTTTCAGGGACATGGATGAAGCTGGAAACCATCATTCTTAGTAAACTAACACAAGAACAGAAAACCATACACCGCATGTTCTCACTCATAAGTGGGAGTTAAACAATGAGAACACATGGACACAGGGAGGGAGATATCATACACTGGGGCCTGTCAGTGGGTGGGGGACTAGGGGAGGGATAACATTAGGAGAAATACCTAATATAGACGACGGGTTGATGGGTGCAGCAATCCACCATAGCACGTGCATACCTATGTAACAAACCTGTACGTTCTGCACATGTACCCCAGATCTTAAAGTACAATTTCCTTTTTAAAAAAGACCTACTATTGATGGGTGGTGTTGCTGTGAAGAGGCTTGTTCTTGTAAATTTTTCTTTGAAACACTGAGCCTTGACTTGTCATTTTCCAGTGCTTGCGCATTAGTACCTTTTCCCCCTTGTCTTTTTGCTGTTGCTGCTGCTGCTTTTCCTTTTTAGCACTATTCTAAAAATGACACATTAATAAGTGATAATAATAATGCAGATCTAAACATATTGCTTGTTTTCTGGCAATTTGGGGCTAAAAAAAGCATAAGCATACTTTAACTGCTATATTCACTTGACTTGTCACTAATTATACATGTCCCCAGATTGAAAAGAAAATCATATAAAGAAAGCGATTTTATATTACTAAAGCTATTAGAATTCAATTAGTCTATCTGAAGGTGATTTTACATGAATATGTGCACATAAGTTTTGATAGATGAAAATAATGACTGGACAAATGTTTATGTATGTTCAGGAGGAGGTTAATTATACAAATGTCTGTTGATATGTAAAATAAATTTATTCGTTCACTTTACTATTTTTTTGAGCACATTTTCTTTCACATGTAATTTGGAGGAATTCAGTATTGAATCACTTACTGAGAAAATAAAAAAGTAAGTAAGAAATAGGGTCAATTATATCTCAAAAAAGCTAAACAAATATGGCGAATCAGTTTGAAAAACAATGCTATACAGACTGGGAAAAGAACAAAGTTTCAAATGACAAACATCTTAGTAATGTGGTCATTACCACTATTACTAATAATTAAAATAATGATGATAATGATTATCATCCTTGTTATTTGTACAATGATTTTTCCACTTGGGAGCTCAAAGTACCAAACCGCCTTATCATTTTTATCTCTACCTAGCTCATTAGGTTAGGAGGAGTCTGGACTTATTATCCTTGTTTTTCGTATGGAGAAATTAAGACAGATAATTGAATCTGTGGGTACAAGACTATGTAATAAATGAGTTGGTGGCAGGACTCAGAAATATAATCTCTTAATTGTTTATTCAAAGTATTTTTGATGGATTCTCTTTTTTCTTTGTCCCATGTTATCCCTTTTGTCTTCTAGCCACCCAGGAGAGCATGTCACTAAAATAGTCGTGAGTAATGTGGGAAGGTGGGGGTCAGAAAAGGAATCACAGTGGTACCTTGGACACTGCAGTGATGTGAATTCCATGAAAATACATATGTAATCTTCCTTATTTTTTTTCATATTTTAAGAATGTCCTATGTCTCTCTCTCTCGCTTTCTTTTAATTCAAAAGTCATAATGTTTGTTCTTAAAAAATCCACCATAAAACAAACAAAACCACGAATTAAAATTAAAGTTTCTCACTTATTTGTTATTCTGCTTCTTACTGAAAAAAAATTGTTGTGTCTTCTGTATATTTTGTTACGCACAGATATATATATATAGTTTTATTATTTAGAAAGACTGAAACATGGAATGCATATTGTTCTATAACTTTTTAAAATTAAAACTTATCATTAACCTTTTTAACGTTAATACATGAAACCTACCTCATCAATAGAATGGCTGCATTGTTTACATTTTTATCTTGATTAAAACTTACTGTAGAACAAATAGAAAGTGTCTAATATTTCACAATTCTACATAGTAATCATGTATTTTGATAATTTCATGTTTTCTACAAGCACAAATTCATATTCTTCATCTGACATGTTTTGATATTAGTTGAGAAACCTCTGCCCGTATTCCCCTCAACAGTTTTGCTTATGTCTGTTATACTCATCTCCTTTTTTCTGCAATAGATGAATAGCAAGCATTCAGAGATGAATAGCAAGCATTCAGGGATGAAGGAATAGGAGTCAGTTTTGGGGGTTTCTTAGGCACAGTTGTACATAAAAAGTAATCTCATTGTGGAGAAGTCTTTTTATATTGCAGTAATTGCCATTCTAGGAACAGATGTTTGGAATTCTACTCAAGGGAAAACTGGAGATGGGAAAGGTTGGGGAGAGTAAGATAAAGCTTCCCTGGTTACAGACCCATGGAAAAATCACAGGAACAAGGCAGGAGAACAAGCAGAGTCCCTGGAGCCTTCCACCACATCTCAGTGCCTTCCCCAGGGACAGTGTTGTGTAGCGATGGTAATACCACTGACTTCTGTGCCAATGCTCTTTATTTTGTGCCCAGCCAGAGCCAGGATGTAATGATGGTGTGACAGGGGCCAACATGATAATATCATCACTTCCTGATCCTATGTCATCAGGAAACAGAGTGTTCTTGATTTCTGTAAACAAAAAGTATTTATTGTGAAATGCTTTGCTGTTTACACATTCATGATCTAATTCTAGGTCCCAAAGCACTTTAGACGCAATGGTTATCCTGCTCCTTACTGATATACGGAGAAATTGAGCTCAGAGTTTAAATGATTTGTCCAAGTCGCAGACCTGTTAATGAAAGGGCTGCACTTAGAATTCTCCTTATTCTGATTCAACACCCAGTACTCCTTCAGGAGAATACCATGTTTTCCTCAAGTCCTCATATAGCAGACAGCGCTCTAGAAAAAAAAAAGTATAGCATACACTGGCATGATAAATACCTCAAGAAATCTAAAATAACAGTATCATATTCAAACTCCTTAGTCATCTCTGACTTATTATTTCACATTTCTAGCTTTAGAGTTTGCTTACCAAATATTATAACCCAATGGGACAATTTTACCAATCAAACAAAAAATCATGTGGATCAATGTTTTCCAGTTACATGTATTTTTGAAGGCAGAATAAATAGAAGAAGTTGAGGGAATCTCAAGCAAAAAGAATTTCCTGTAGCATCATTAAAGCTTAGAGGTAAATATTAGCTCAAAACCTCAGGTTCTTTAGGAAGGGGCCTCTGGTTGTCTCTTCTAGGTATCCTCAAAGTTTGGTTTGGAAATAGATTGGAAAATTAGAAGCATAGGATTAGCAACTCTATCTGAAACCTGGTATGCTTCAAGCTGTAACACATTTAAAAAGGATATTTAAGATTCTAAAGTGCTAGAGAAAAGGCTTAAAATATTTTTGTAGCTCCTGCAATGTCTAACTCTATATCAAGTATGTGGCTGGCTCAACAAGTGATAGCTAACATTTAATATTGCACTTTCTACATGTCAGGCATTGTTACAAGCACTTTATATATAGTACTTCATTTAATTCTCACAATAATCATATGAAATAGGTACTATCATTATCATCTTCCTTTTATGGATGAGAAAAACTGAAGCACAGAAAAGTCAAACTACTTGCCTAACAACAGGAGTCAGAGTCAGGATTGGCCTCAGCAGCCCGGAACCAGGGTGTGCTCTAAACCCAGACAGTACACGACCCTCCAAATGAATGTCCTTTATTCCACAAAAATATCTGTTTTGTCTAAGGAGTGGATGTGTTGCATGCTCTGAAATAATCTATCTATTTACTTTCTTCCTTAGGCCAGATGTGGTGAGGGCTAGGAAAAGAGTTTGTTGGGAGCCCTGGGTTATCGGCCTCGTCATCTTCATATCCTTGATCGTCCTGGCAGTGTGCATTGGACTCACTGTTCATTATGTGAGATACAGTAAGTATAACCTGCCTTGGCATCATGTAATTTACCCCAAATATTTCCTCATACCTTGCTGTTTTGATTTGCCTCAGGCTTATTCATTCATTACTAAGATTCATTTGCATAACCTGTACAAAGGAATCTTTACCTGCTTTGTCTCTTATTTAGTGCTCATAAGTCAAGGAGGATTATGTTTTCTATCTTTGATGTGTGATGCTTTCTGCTGGGAACAGCATGCTCATTTGCATCTTCCTTAATAAGCAATAAGTGAATATTAATCAAGGGAAAACTACAGCATAGCTAGAACCAAGGTCTTGAGTTGTTTGAGGTCATAGGGCAAGCACTTTGATTTAAAATAATTCTGACCGGGTGCAGCGGCTCACGCCTGTAATCTCAGCACTTTGGGAGGCTGAGGCGAGTGGATCACTTGAGGTCAGGAGTTTGAGGCCAGGCTGGCCAACATGGTGAAACCCTGTCTCTACTAAAAAAAAGGAAAAAAAAAAACAAAAACCCAGATGTGATGGTGTACCCCTGTAGTCCCAGCTCCTAGGGGGGCTGAGGCAGGAGAATCACTTGAACCCAGGAGGCGGAGGTTTCAGTGAGCCGAGATCATGCTACTGCACTCCAGCCTTGGCAACAGAGAAAGACTTGGTCTCAAAAAGAAAAAAAAAAAAAATCCAACTCGTTGAAGTCCTGACATGCCAATAAATCAATGACACAATCTGGAGTCATAAAAAAGTAGGCTCTATTCTATACCAGGAAGTTAGAAAAATAGTCATAGTGATGCATTGTTGAATAAGTGCCTATTTCTGTTATTAAAATCTCATCTTAGGATATATTGTAGGTGATTAAAGAGGATAGGGTATGCTGAGAAAGCTCATTATAAAGAAGTTCACCCTGCGGTTATCAGGTACCTCATTGCTAGATGAACTGTTAGTTGCTATGTTATTAGAAAGGTCTCCAGGGTACTTCAGAACTGTTCTCCAGGAGGTAACAACCCTTCTGAAGTTTCCTCCTACTTTGCTTCGGGTTTTAATTACTTGACTTAACCGTGACCTGTTAGTTTAATACCTCCCTCTGTTACTAGATTATACTTGGATGTTCAAGGCACTGTAACCATAGAAGCTAATCACTTGATTCTAATTTAATTGGGACCTTGTTGAAGTTGCTTTCCAATAACGAGAAAGAGTACTCTGCAATCTGGTTGTCTTCCTCTACTGTCCCTGCAAGTGTAATCTCAATTTCCAAAGCAAGATGGATCATTTCTGGATAGTTTAAAAAAATATTTAAAACAAAGATTTTTTTTTGGTAGAATTTGCATACAGACAGGTCTTTAAATTTGGAGTGTCTGCATATTATTAATAGATTTTTCTGTAGCATACTTTTTTTTTAAATTTTTTGAGACAGAGTCTTGATCTGTTCCCAGGCTGTAGTGCAGTGGCTTGATCTCGGCTCACTGTAACCCCTGCCTCCTGGGTTCAAGTGATTTTTGTGCCCCAGCCTCCTGAGTACCTGAGATTACAGGCGTGCACCACCACACCCAGCTATTTTTTTCTATTTTTAGCAGAGACAGGGTATCATCATGTTCGTCAGGCTGGTCTTGAACTTCTGACCTCAAATGATCTGCCTGCTTTGGCCTCCCAAAGTGTTGGGATTACAGGCGTAAGCCACTGTGCCAGGCCTGGAGCATACTTGAAATAAAAATGAATTGCTAAAATAACTTTATAGCTCTACAATTCTGCTGAGTATACTGAGTCCCACTTTGTTGTAAGCATCATTATTTGTCCCCATGGATGCCTAGGACTGTTTTACACACTTTTGTGTGTCTAGAATTTATCAGAGTCTTGGCACATGTTAGGTGGATTAAATACTGAATGATAATATCGAATGAATCGTACTTATGATATGTTCCTGGGCCATACTGTGGCTTGTCTGACTTCACAAGGAATTCCTAGTAATACTAGGGGCTAATGACCTCAGTGAGAGAAAATGTCCCTTACTACTTCTCATTTGCCTCTTCCCAAGCCAAGTTTTATAAGATTCATAAATCTTACTCATATGTATACAGTGAAAACTTGGCAAGAATTTTTTCAGTAACCTGTTTCTGAATCCTGTTGTTTGGATGATCAATTGAGTAATATTGAACACACAGCTTCCACTGCCCACACAGTACACCTGAATAAACAGTGATTGTTGTGATGTGTGTTACTGTCTTCTGTTTGTGACCTGCTTTCTGTTTTGGGGTATAAACTAACAGAGTGGTTTTGGAGAAGCTGACATGCCAAAATAACGAAACGAAACCAAAAAAATCTGTTACAGAAATAGACAGATACAGATAAAGGTAATCATATTTGGAAAAACATCATTTTGGTTCTTATTTCATAAAGCCCAGGACAACATAGAATTCTGTATACAGTTCGTGTCTGGAGCCTTTGGGCGTGCATTTCTGCCCCTGTGTGATTTGGATGTCAGAAGATGAATCTGTTATAAGCCAACACCATTGCAGATTATAGAATCACAAACCTGCTGGAAAAGTACTCATGTTTATCCTTATTTTAAACTTTTCTGTTAATATTCCTAACATGTTTTAGTAACTACTCATACCATATATTTATGGCAGCTGGTAATATGTTTTAACAGTGGCATGCTTAAGTCTACAGAGTAAAGTAAAATTTTTTTTTTTTTTTTTTTTTTTGAGACGGAGTCTCGCTCTGTCACCCAGGCTGGAGTGCAGTGGCCGGATCTCAGCTGACTGCAAGCTCCGCCTCCCGGGTTCACGCCATTCTCCTGCCTCAGCCTCCGGAGTAGCTGGGACTACAGGCGCCCGCCACCTCGCCCGGCTAGTTTTTTTGTATTTTTTTAGTAGAGACGGGGTTTCACCGGGTTAGCCAGGATGGTCTCAATCTCCTGACCTCGTGATCCGCCCGTCTCGGCCTCCCAAAGTGCTGGGATTACAGGCGTGAGCCACCGCGCCCGGCCGTAAAGTAAAATATTGAGCACAGATAATAAGTTGTTAACTTGGTTAAACCATATGCAATTGCCAATATTTGACTATTTTTGACCTGTACTAATGACGATTTTAAATAATTCAATCTAGTAAGTCAAAAAACTACATTTAAGGATATAGAGGGGTCTGTTACCATTCTGTCTAGAACCTTGCTATTTAACATATGATTAGCTACCAGAAGCATCAACATCACTTGGGAGCTTGGTAGAAATGCAAAATCTTGAGTCTAACTTTAGACCTCATGTACCAGAATCAGCATTTTAACACGCTCCCTAGGCGGTTCACTTTTACTTTAAAATTTGAAGCAGAATTCTAGAAGAATGGATACAACTCCACATAAAGTTATAGCTAACCATGAGGCAGATGTTTACAAATACAAATGTAATAGAACAGTAGTTTACAGAGATAGTTATGAGTTATTTCCCAGTATTGCAATACATTTGAAACCGTACTTGAAGTTAGGTTTGAAACTTCCATTCAGAGAAAGGGAGGTGAGGAAGGATGGAGGAAGAGTAAAACCTCCCGGGTCCTTCACTTAGGTCTCTAGTACTCTGGCGACTCAACTTTCAGTGTCTTCCGCCTGCCATTCATCTCTTTTATTCATCACCAACCCCTCCCCAGCCCTTGTCAGAGTCTGATAGTGCTTCTCTCTCTGTCCCATCAAATCCTCTGGATGGCCAGGGTGTTTTTTTTTTGAAATATGCTAGTAGTTTTTTGAATAACTTTTATACAACAAAAGACGTGTCCCGTAGCTTCAATAAGTGATTTTTTTTTTTTTTCTCTAAGAAGCAGCTTGTGAAATAAGTCTGTATTCTGGAAGTTAGTCTTGGCTATGCCCTGCTGGGCTTGGGCAAGTTATTTACATTTCCAAGACTGTAATCTGTTAAATGTGGATAATATTGCCTTTTTGTGGAGTTATTATAAATTAAATGAGATATGTGACTGTACCAGGGACATTGGTGTTCAGTGTTATTTTATTTTTCTTCTGCAGTTTAAGTGAAGAGGGAAAGAATAGGAAGGAAGAGAGAGGAGGAGAGAGACTGTGACTGGATGAGCCACACTCTGCTTTCCTATAGTAACTACATACAACTGTCTTGATCACCTGTGTATTTCTAATGCTTGACACAGTGTCTCTCGCTGAAAAGTGGCTGGCATTAATATTTGTTGAATGAATACATTAATTTTCTGAGGGCTGTGTGCTTTCCTCATGCACTGGAGGGTAGATGAAAAGTTATGTGACATTAACTTTTCAGCAGGTCAAAAATGTGGGTTGCTTAAATTGGATGCAGAAGGTAGAGACAGTGGCTAAGGAGCAGACAAGCCAACCCCTGTGGTTGGTGGGAAAAACATACATGCAGTGACAAGGGAGCAGGGTGAAAGTAAATAGTGTCCCTGGAAGATTATGCCAGGTGGCAACTTTAGCTCCCTGAACTTCTATTTACTGAATCCCTTGCATTTTAATTTCTAACCTCATCTTCCTTTTCAGCCAAAATAAATTTTCTCACACTAGAGTTTTTATGGACAGAATTGATGTATAGTTGACGGAAGGGAAAAGAAAATCTACATTTGGAATATACAAATACAGTGACCCTTGGGAGGCTTCTGAATCCATCCCTGTTTGTATGCTCAGATGGCATGACTTGCTCTCTCTTGTGGCTTACTGAGGAATGAATAACAGATGAATAATCAGCCCACTCTTCTGATGAGCTACTTGTACAGTACTCCAGGAACACCAGGCATTTCTTACAGCTTTGATACTCTAAATCACATGATGATAAATGTTGTTTTATATCCTGAGATAACTATGAGGCCTGGAGCAGGATGATGATGATGATGATCTGTGCTAAGAGCATTCCTTCCTGTTTCAGTCTTCTAGCAACAACCAAGTGGGGAAATAATGATGCTTTACACCCATCTGATAAAAATTAAGATAGGGTTTTGCTTCTTTCCTTGTAGATCAAAGGAAGACCTACAATTACTATAGCACATTGTCATTTACAACTGACAAACTATATGCTGAGTTCGGCAGAGAGGCTTCTAACAATTTTACAGAAATGAGCCAGAGACTTGAATCAATGGTAAGCAATTTGTCATCCACTTCTGGTGCATTTGCTGTCACTCTTTACCATATTTTTAGCGTCCTAGCTTCTAAAAGATCCGTTCAACTAACAGATCCCTGTGTATTTGCAAAATGAAAAGAGGCCCTAACCCAAGGAATATGAAACAAAACAGACAATACATCACTTAGCGCAATATCACCCGCAGGGCTGAACCAAAGAAACTTGAGCCATTCAGTCAGGTCCATCTTACTTACCTTTCCTTAGCTAGTGCTATACTGTTGATCAGCAGAGTCCAGAGATTCTGGAAATGTTTGAGTGTGGCCTAAAATATATTTGCTGTATCCTACACTTCCTAAAAAGGAGACTCTGAGCAGAAGATTGCCAAGATTGAAACTATTTATGCACATACCTAAACAGTCTTTTAGTTTATAAAAGTATCTAACCTTCAACCAGCTTTTGGTACAAAAATATGTAGTAAATCCACAGATATGCAACTCTACCCAGTTTTAAAAAATATTTAACATTCAACTAGCTTTTGGTACGTAAATCCACAGATATGCAACTCTACCCTTAATGCATCAGTATTCATCTCGAGGGATCAATTAAATACTTAAGAAACTGGAAAAATTAGCATGGGCCAAAAAACAAGGGACTAAGTGGTAACTTCTTATCGTTATCAGATTAATTAAAGAATAATTTAACTTTTTCTGGCAGTCTGTGAGGTAATTCATGGTATAATGTGATGGAAAGAACCCTGAGCTAGGAGCTGGGAGGCACATGTAGCTTCAGTGGCACCCACTAGCTAATGATACATCACTTGACATATCAGTTTATCATTCTGGACAAAATTCCTTATGTGAAAATTAAGGTATTAGGTTAGATAATTTCCAAATTGTCTTCCAGTTCCAATAAACTGAACAAGAATGGAAGTGAGACCCTGGAAACTGCCCAGTAGACAACAGCCTTGGGATTTGGCCAGCTTGCTGAGACAGAGGTTGAATCCTGGTTACATCTGCCCTTGCAAACACCAAATCAGGGAAATATTTGATCAGGCTCTTCTCTAAGGCTAAATACATTTGCAAAATGAAGAAAGTGAAATTGAACTAAAAAGGTCAAGAAGAGATGGCACTATTGCCCTTGTTCTTTGTGCCATTCAAGTACATTTTATTTAAGTAAATAAAATCCAGACAGATTTAAATCTAAAGGAATATACATAGAACTCTTTAATGCCTTCAAAATTAATAATAGTTTTGAAGTTACTTGACAAAAATTAGCCCTTCAATAAAAATTTTCTTGTGAATACTGTCATCCTATTCAGAGCTTTGTCTCATAATTCCAAGAACTGTCCTTAGGGAAAACAATTTGAATTAATAAAATGTAAGAAAGAATTAAAAGTCTCATTGCTTCTGTTAATCACCAGCATGTAGTAAGTGTTTACTTACTACATACTATATATACACATACTGGAAACAAGACCCCTTGAAGTGTTTCCTTACATAAACTCCTAATTAAAAAAATAAGTTGCCTAGAATTCTTATTTAGAATAATAACTAACATCTCTACAAAAATAGATTCTTTCACTTTAGTAGAGTAAAACTTAGGCTAAGTATCCCAGTTCACCTGGGTCTTTCTATGAGCATTTGGAGTGCTGAACTGGGTATACATTATGCCAGGATACTTGACAACTTTGTCACTAGGTTTGGGAAGCATTTGACATGGACATGCACTCATTTCTATAATCCAATTATTATGTGGCAGAATTATTTCATTTCCTTTGTCTATGGGCAGTAAAAGTCCTTATCTCCAGGTAAAATTGCTCACTCTTAATTTTCAAGAAACAGGATGTTCATTTTCTTTTGTCTCTTTCTGAGCATTAGTACAGCAGATGTCACTTCTGTCCCCACTGCGGTTCCCTACTCCTATCATTCCTAAGACAGAGTTCAGCTGAAATCACTGAGAATATCGCAGTAGATTCCTCAAGCTTCCTCAAGTTCAGCTCACTGCGAAATGTCAATGCCTTTTGCTCTGTTTTGTTTTTTAATTTTCTAAAAAGCTTTGAATTAATTTGTGGAATTTCATAAAGTTCTTGCTGACATATTTTGAATATTTTTCAAACAGGTGAAAAATGCATTTTATGAATCTCCATTCAGGGAAGAATTTGTCAAGTCTCAGGTTATCAAGTTCAGGTTTGTAAATCTGAATTGCCAACTTCTGAATTTAAAGTTGAAGCTGTTAATCTGCTCAGCAATAAATATGTTTTGAAGTGTTAAATATATAATTCAATTCAACAAACATTTGACACTTGTTCTGTGTAAGTCATGGGTTACAAAGTCCCTTATTGATTCCTTAAATCCCAAAGTAAGCATTTGCAAGGTGATTGCTGGGGACAGAGGTATAATTGGTGCCTATGCTATAAAACTGTTTTCTGAGAAACTTACTAAGTACAGATAGTGCTAAGTACAGATAGACCTTACACATATCCTTGGTTTAATGGCAAGTAGTGCCCCACGTAAGACAGTGTAGTAGATCAGGTTTGTCTTTAGCTCTTCTTCCTCCTGTTAGTCAATCTTGTTTACCTTCTTCTATTCCATCCCTCTATTCTCAAAATATGTAGCTGAGAAGATCTCATCTGTCAACTAACCATTCATATATAGGTTTAGAACATAATAGTAAGGAAAATATTATAAGAATTTTCAATATGATATTACCATAATACAAATTATTATGACAAATAATCCTGACTGAATATAATAAATACTGAAAAGAATCCACTGGTTTTGTTAACTAGGATACTTGGGTTGTTATTTATTTTCCTGTCTTGAAAATAGTGTTACAATTAACATGTATATAGGTCTGTCCTTGCACAAATGCATGAGTGCATTTGAATATTTAATTTCTGGAAGTGGAAATGCTGTGTCAGAGAAGACAGATATTCAAACTTATAATAGATAAAACTGCTATCCAAAAATAAGACTCTAATTTGTATTCCCACTTCCAGTTTATGAGAGTAGTGGTTGATGCAATATATAGTGAAGAGTTAGATTCTTTCAGAAGTGACTATGAAAAGGAGTGGATAAAGTAGCTGGCAGGATGATTCCAAAGTAGTAATTCATACAAATAGTATTAAGACTAATTAATACTCTGTGTTGAAAAGACAGTTACATGAAGTCAGTACAATTTGGTAAAGCATTCTGATATCTTTAGGATTGGGAGTTGTTTAGGATAGCCTGAAGATTGTTGAGGGGAGGTAAGTAGACTTGAGACACAAGAATAAAACCTGAAATTCAAAACCACAGTTGATTTTATATTTAAGACACATTGTATTTGATAATTTTGAATGGTTTTTGAAAGGTGTGTTTTTATATTAATAACCATATACTTAACTAGACTTTTTGAAGGTAAGGGATACCATGAACAGACTAGCTCACTATATGAGAGACTGAATTTGTGGTTCTTCACATACTAAACAGTAGCAATATAGAAGGAAACATTTATGGATTTATGTGTGCATTTCATGTAAGTGATAAAGAAAAAAGCAGACTGAGATATTACCCTTCTTTCTTTTTCTTTTCTTTTTTCTTTTCTCTTTTCTTTTCTTTCTCTCTCTCTCCCCTTCCTCCCTTCCCTTCCCTTTGCTTCTCCTTCCTTCCTTCCTTCCTTCCTTCCTTCCTTCCTTCCTTCCTTCCTTCCTTCCTTCCTTCCTTCTTTCCTTCCTTCCTTCCTTTTCTTTCTTTCCTCCCTCCCTCCTTTCCTCACTTCCTCCCTCCCTCCCTCCCTCCCTTCCTGCCTTTCTTTCTTCCTTTCTTTTTTTTCTTTCTTTCATTTTCTTCTTTTTTGGCCCACAGTCAACAGAAACATGGAGTGTTGGCTCATATGCTGTTGATTTGTAGATTTCACTCTACTGAGGATCCTGAAACTATAAATAAAATTGTTCAACGTGTTTTACATGAAAAGCTGCAAGATGCTGTAGGACCCCCTAAAGTAGATCCTCAGTCAGTTAATATTAAAAGTAAGTTAATTTCTCTTATTTTTCTTTCATAGAACAGTTTCATTTTAGGTTTGATCTTGGCATTCATTAAAAAATTTTTTTTGGTATCCTTTAATTCTGGGGTCTTGCCACCAACAGTATATTTCTTTGGAACTAAATTGGTCCTAATGAAGTATTTTAATTTTTGAAACTGCCCTAAACTTAGGCCTCCCATGCAAGCTTTTTATTAACTCCTGAGCAGTTTTCTTTATATTACACTTTATACTTTGGCTATAGAATCCAATTATAAGTGAAGAAAATGGCTTTGTATCTTCTTCTTCTTTTTCTTGTTGCTTTCATTGTATGTTCTGAGGGTATGGTATATGGAAAGGTTCATGCCATTTACACATTTGTTTTCAAATGTCATTAATATACCTTGCTGTACTTTCTTCCCTTAAACTTTTCACCAATGAAACATTTATAATAAACTTATTTTTGGTATGTTTACACCTATAAACGAAAAATTTAGGTAGATTTTTGTTGTTCTTGTTGTTATTGCTTGTAGGGCCACATGGGACAAAACAAATGATGATAGGTCCTCACATTTACAAAATAAGAAATATGAGATCCTCAGTGGAAATTAAGGTCTGGTTAAGGGCTGAGTCATATGTTATAGAACAATGCAGGTCTATAGAAATACTATGTGGGCACAAGTATAATGTTACATTTTCTAGAAGTTACATTAAAAACAAAAATAAGCATGTAAAATTAATTTTCAATAATTTGTATATTCAACCCAATATGTCCAAAGTATTGTCATTTAAACAAATAATGTAAAAATTATTCATCAAATATTTAATTTTTTTTGTAGTAAGGATCTGAAATCTAGTAACATTTTATATAGCTAGTACATTTCAATTTAGACTAGCCATACTGCAAGAACTCATTGGCCACATGTGGCTAGTGGATACAGTAGTGGATATGGCAGCACTGAGAACTAGAGAATAGGGGACAAGTAGAGAGAATGAATACAAACTGCTAATATAAAATCTGATAGATCTGAGTAGACGCCTAAATTGATGGCCAGCCAACCCACTTGCTTAGGAAGGAGGCTTCAGTAGTCAGGGACAGATACATAATTTATGCACCCTAGCACAAAATGAAAATGCTAGATCTGTTTTCAAAAAGCAACAAAAAAGTGCTGTTAAAAGTACAAAGATATAAGAGTTTTCTTTCTTCCCTAGTGTCTCTCTCAACTTTTCATGGTGTTTTCATTGGCTGATTATTGTCATTCTAAGAGAAAAAAATTAAATTTGTAGATTACTAATATGAGTTTAATTGTTTATATCGTGAAATATTAATTTAACTGCATATATAAGTACATTTAACTTGTATTTCAAATCATGGAAATTATGCAACTATATTGCATAGCTTATACATATATGTTTTTCATTTTTGCCATCAATGGAAATAGTACAAAAGGTTAATGACTCTTCTTATTTTCCTGGTTAGTATGAGCAAATTCTACCAACACTCTCTACCTTCAGCTTACTGAAGAGTGAGGAAGGACTAGAGGGAAAAGGAGATCTGGGTTTCCCTATCTTTCTCTTTCTAAGTTGTAGTTTTCAGCAAAAGCTGTTGGCTAATACACAGAAGTAACAGAAGCAAGAAGGGATATGACAGGCTCTGTTGTTCATCTGTGTTTATTAGAATGCTATTGTCTTTTCTCTGGGTTTTAAGCAAGTTTTGGTTCAAACAGAAAACATGGCCTCCAAGGCATGTCAGTGCACCTCCACTTACTTAATGGAAGGAATAGCACACTTACCTTGTACTTGCTTTGAGTCTTGCTGAACCCCTGTGCATTGTGGGTTCACTAGAATTCTGATTTCATAGGGAATTGTGAATGATATATGCAAATGAAGTGGGAAGAAACCATGGACACACTTATTGCACATATCTTGTCTGCCAACACTATGATCTATTATCCTATTGAACTTCATTTTCAAAACACAAGTTACAAGATAAAATTATTAAGAATGTCAAGTGAGCAACAGCAGAGCATTGTATCAAGCACAAAGCCATTGTGAATATGAGACCCAGTGCAGATGTATAAGTCACACATGAAGCCAGCCTTGTCAGTACTGTCAATACACAAAGCTTGAAATTTTCGTAGGAAGAGCTTGAGATAGAGAATAAGTTATTTGAAACAAAGAGATCAGAGGTGGTCCTTTTAATATTAACTGAGACTAAATTGTAAATTCTTCCTTATTTTTGCCATTTTCCCCACAAGTAGCCAGAATAAATAAAGTCAGAAAGAAGGTTTTCTAGAATATAGATTTCCACTTCATTCATACTATTAAATACTAAAGAAAACAAAAACACTAATATTTTCGTATTTAGAGCATCCATCTTTCCATGTACAAAGAATAGTTTTGGTCATTAGAACTCTGCTGAGTAAGGAAGTTTGAGCTTAGAGTTTTATACATCTATTGGCTAGGTTAGTGTTTGCATAGGGTTTGAGACTGACTAGTGAGAAGTCAGCAAGCTAAGAAGTCATTGGCTGGAGCTAAATGACAATTTGAGGGCAGACTGTCTTTTCAAATTTGACTTCAAAAGGGGTAACATTGTTTTTAACTGTGAGTGAGTGCACATTTATGGAGATGCTATCAGGTGTGTTATACAAGTGGGACTATGCTCATGAGCTTAATGATATAATCTGAAATAACGGTTAATAAATGTATTATTACATTTGGGGAATCAATACTATGGTTTAGAGCAGTGTTTCCCATGGAGGGGTTGTGGACTCCCTGCATCTTATTTACTGGTATAAAATCCAAATTCTTGGGCTTCAATACAAACTACTGAATTAGAGTTACTGGGAAGGGGAAGAGGAGTTTACATTATAAATATGCTCCCTATGTGACTCTTACCCACATTAACATTTAACACACCATTCACATTCTCTGCAATGTGACGATCATACTATGTCTATGACAAACTATGTCGCTTTCTTTATAATCCAGAAATACTGTTTTATAATAAAATTAAGCAGCCTTTTAGTATTTAAAATACTCAGAGGCATAGTGTAATTCTGATGTGCTGACCCTATTCTATTTACTGTTTCTATGTGTTTCAGAAATCAACAAGACAGAAATAGACAACTATCTGAACCATTGTAAGTTTCATATATTTATTAACATAGCATTACCTGAAGGTAAAAAGCTAACACTATATAGGTCATTTAGGTTTACTTAGTGTTGATATCATGGGACAGAACAGATAAAGTTTGATTAATTTGTGTACAGTTCATTGTGCCTTATCATATCTCGGAGACACATTTTATTAGTAAAGAATAGCAAAATTGAGATAACTTTGGAGTGGATGTATGGGTGCCTGGGGCAGATGTGTAGTGGAAGTGAGTTGTACAGCTGTTAAAGAAGAGGCAAGAAATGTTTACTTATCACTGTTCTGTTTGTAGATATCTATAAGATAAAACAAATCTATACATTGTGTTTTTCAGCTAGAGTCAGAAACTTATTATCACTATATCCTAGATAAAATCTTCTTGATGTTATTAATCCTATGTCATGGAAAGTGCAGGAAATTATGGGGTATATTTTAATAAAATTACTTTAGACACATAGATAATATCTTCACCTATATTTTAAAAGTGCTGACTCTAGGCCCAGCACTTTTCTTCTCCTGTAGCCAAGTACCCCACTGTGATTTACAGTATACATTCAATAGTTATGGGGTTGTTGCACATTACATTTCTCTTAAAAGGTGGAAGAATATGTGCTACTCACCAGCTCATATAGTTGGTTAATTTCTAAAATTAACTAAATACAAAACCAAAAGATAATCTCATTACCTAAATAGCATATACTCTCGCCACCAATATTTATTGGGAACATACCATGTGCTAGCACTGTGTTAGACAACAGGGATACAAAATGGATACGATATAATCTCTACCTAAAGCACCTCATACTCTAATGGGACTAGATGCATGAGGCTAATTCATGAACACATCATTCTTAAACAACACTTCTCAACCAAGGGAAATATTGTTGGCCAAGCTATCATGCCCCACCCCCTGTGGCATTTTTGTCATGAATATAGGGGGAGGGTTACTGGCATCTAGTATATATAGGCCAAGATCTTATGATGCACAGGGCAGCCCCCTACAACAAAGAATTAAACAGTTCAATATGTTAGTGGTGCCAAGGTTGAAGAACCCTGTCATAAACAATGTCAATATGTATACATACACATAAGCACACATAGAGAGGGTATCTGTTATACACATAAACACACAGAGTGTGTTTGTTACTATTATTATTTTGGAAGCACCAAGAAAGTAATAACTAATCCAGATTGGAGACAGGGTAGTTAGAGAAAGCATCCTAGAGAGGTAACAACTGCTTTAAATTTTACAAAATGAACAGGAGTTAGCTGAATAAAACATTACAGTTTACAGAAAGGTAAGAGCATGAGAAAATATTTGATACTATTGGAGCACAAAGTAGAAGAAATTTGGAACACAGTAACACAATTTGATGCTTAAAACAATTGCTAATTAATGCACCCACCAATGCACCCACCCTCTCTCTTTTGCAGGCTGTGGAACACGAAGAAGTAAATCTCTAGGTCAGAGTCTCAGGATCGTTGGTGGAACAGAAGTAGAAGAGGGTGAATGGCCCTGGCAAGCTAGCCTGCAGTGGGATGGGAGCCATCGCTGTGGAGCAACCTTAATTAATGCCACATGGCTTGTGAGTGCTGCTCACTGTTTTACAACGTAAGTTTCGAAACTTGAGGATGATTGGGAGTGAACAAAGTGCACTGGGTTTTGGCAAGAAAATATCTCATGAATTTTGGGAGATTTGAGTTTATCATAAATTAAAAATAATGCATATATCACAAAAGACTGGAATATTTGTAAACATTAGTAAGAGGTTTTAAAGTCTGGAAATGGAAATGGAGTCAAAGTATATGTAAATAAATAATCTTTTGATAAATACACAATCATTTCTCAAAGAAAGCAGGAATTTTAAAATCATTTTTGAACTTTGAATTTGCTGTCAAACAGGAGTGCTTTATCTCTCTGCTGAGTATCTCAATCAGAGATGGAGTCTGGATAGGTTGTAGGTTGGATCCTAAGGTGGAAATTTCACATGGTAAGAAAAAGAATTAAATATGAAGAATTATATAACGAAGATATGAAGAATTTGGAAGTAGCAAGTTGTACAAACGAATAGATTGACTTATTATATTGCAAAAAATGGAGGACCCTTCAATCTATTGTCAAAATGTCTATAGTATATAAAATAGTAATACTTTGTTAAATTATTGTGTGGACTTTTTGGTTTTCAGAGAAATGTGTATATTTCTGGGTGGGGTACATAAGGCACATAGAATATATTAATTTTTCTTATTCTGTTCAGGGTACTTTCCATAGGTCCCTTGGAGTCATTAATATTCAGAAATATCAAAAAGCCCTAGCATTTGGAGTGGATGACTTGGCATATGGAGTGGCATGTATATAATAGGAAATGGTGGCTTTTTCACCTGGTCAGACCCCTGAGCCTTATTCTCAAATTGGAAAGAGTTCTGTACATCAAAACTATAAAAAGAAAAATAAATCTACACCTGTAGACTAAATTATTCAATATAAATTATTAGACTGGTAGCATGGTAAAAGGAAATTTATTCTTCATTTTCTTCTTCCCAGATATAAGAACCCTGCCAGATGGACTGCTTCCTTTGGAGTAACAATAACACCTTCGAAAATGAAACGTGGTCTCCGGAGAATAATTGTCCATGAAAAATACAAATACCCATCACATGACTATGATATTTCACTTGCAGAGCTTTCTAGCCCTGTTCCCTACACAAATGCAGTACATAGAGTTTGTCTCCCTGATGCATCCTATGAGTTTCACCCAGGTGATGTGATGTTTGTGACAGGATTTGGAGCACTGAAAAATGATGGTGAGCATCTGAAGAGAAACTCAAATCAAAGTTATATTGGTATTTTATGGCATTTAAAGAATGAAATGCTATTATGCCAAAATATGTTAATTGTGTGGTCATATGACCTGGACCAAGGCAGGCCCTAAAAGTGAAGTAAATAACTTGGAAGACACACACAAATTCCTTCCTGCCTAAGTTAATATCAAGTAAATTGCTACTACTATATGATACAGTCATAGTACTGCTAAGATGTCTGAAAAAGCAAATATGTCTCCTAGCCATGAACTTTTCTTTAGAGAATTAACCACTTTAGAGATTAGCAATCAATAATATACCCAATTCTGAAGATTGGAGAATCATAAAGCCACCATTGTCCCCTACTGAAATTTCCTTCTAATCTTAACAATGGAGTGGACATTATTTAGATAACTTGTGGTTCTTTCCTAGGCACCCAACTTTTTACTGAAAGTAGTTAGGAACAAATTATCTTCCCAAATATTACTGTTCTAAACATGTGTATTCTAAGATTCTGTATCACTATCTTTTCTTTTTTTTTTTTGAGACAGAGTCTCATTGTTGTCATCCAGGCTGAAGTGCAATGGTGTGATCTTGGCTCACTGCAACCTCCGCCTCCCAAGTTCAAGTGATTCTTCTGCCTCAGCCTCCTGAATGGTTGGGACTACAGGCGCCCGGCTAATTTTTGTATTTTTAGTAGAGACAGGGTTTCACCATGTTGGCCAGGCTGGTCTCAAACTTTGAGCTCAGGTGATCCACCCTCCTCGACCTCCGAAAGTGCTGGGATTACAGGCATAAGCCACCGCTCCTGGTACCCCCCTTTTTTTTTGGGACGGGGTTTCTCTCTGTCCCCTAGGCTGGAGTTCAGTGGTGCGATCTTGGCTCACAGCAACCTCTGCCTCCCAGGTTCGAGAGATTCACCTGCTCAGCCTCCTGAGTAGCTGGGATTACAGGTGCATGCCACCACAGCCCGACTGATTTTTGTATTTTTAGTAGAGATGGGATTTCACCATGTTGGCCAGGCTGGTCTCGAACTCCTGGCCTCAAGCGATCCTCTAACCTTGACCTCTCAAAGTGCTGGGATTACTGGCATTAGTCACCGTGCCCGGCCTGTATCACTATCTTATTTTTAATCATGAAACATTTTCTTCTGGTTTATAAAATATATATATATGTCTACAAAGCCTTTTTTTTTCTTTTAGGTAGCAGTCAAAATCATCTTCGACAAGCACAGGTGACTCTCATAGACACTACAACTTGCAATGAACCTCAAGCTTACAATGGCGCCATAACTCCTAGAATGTTATGTGCTGGCTCCTTAAAAGGAAAAAGAGATGCATGCCAGGTAAACAGTTTTGCCCATTAGTATGTTGCATAATTTTTTGTTTACTTTTCTTTGAAATAATTACATATTTGCAGGAAGTTGCAAAGATAGTACAGAGGAGTCACAACGTCTCACCCAGTTTTCTTCAACGATTACATCTCACATAACTATAGTTCAGTATAAGATCTGCGAAACTGACAGTGGTACAAAGTATGTGTCTAATTCTATGGCATTTTATCGTATCTGTAGATTTGTGTAACCACCACTAGAGTTAAGATGAAGAACTATTCTATCACCACAAAGATCTACCTCTTTCCCTCCTCCTACTATTGCTAACATCTGGCAATCACTAATTTATTCTCCATCTCTATAATTTTTCAGTTTTCAAAATGTTATATAAATAGAGTTACAGTAGCTTTTTAAACAGAATTTAATTTTGGATCATCTATTGGTATTTTCGGCTCTTTTTTGTAGAAAAATTTTAGTGGTTCCTCTAAGTTTTTTATATATATATATAAATGTGTATTTATTTATTATATATTTATTATTTATTATATATGTGTATTTATTTATTATATAAATACGTATATAAATATGTATTTATTTATATATACATATATAACATCACTGTCTACGTGTATTGAAAATTTACTAGTTTTGCTGAAGTATAGAATGGAAAACTTACTTCCCCTTAAATCCCTTTGCTTTTCCCTCATTAATATTAAATATTAATAAACATAAACATTAAATATTAATAAATATAAATATTAAATATTTGCTTTATATTTTGAGAACCACAGAAGACAACGTTTTGCTTCGACTGTCCAATGTAATTTAGAAAACATAAGAGGAAAAGGAAAGGCTATTTACCTATAGATTTGTTCTTTCCTCTTTCCTGATTCCTTTTTTTAAAAAAAGTCATTTCTGTTTTAGGAACTTCCTTTAGCCACTCTTTCAGTATAGGTATGCTGATGAAAAATTCTCTTAGATTTTCTTTGTCTCTAAAAGTCTTTATTTCTTCTTCATTACTGAAGCATAATTTGGCACTGACAGTTCTTTTCTTTCAGCATTGAAATCATTGCCTCTGTGATTTCTGCAAGGAATGTGCTGCTATTAGAATTATTTTCTTCCAATAGATGAGGTGTCATTTCTCTCTTTCTGTGTTCAAGAGTTTTTCTTTGTCTTTAGTTTTCAGAAGTTTGATTATGTATCTTGGCATGGATTTCTTTGAGCTTATCCTGTTTGAGGTTTGCTCAGCTTTTTGAATATGTAGATTTATATCCTTTGTCAAGTTTGATAAATTTTCAGTCATTATTTCTTGAAATACTCTTTCAGCCCCACCTTCTTTCTTCTTTCCTTCTGGAACTCTAACCATAGCAATGTTTACTCTTTTATTATAGTCCCAGAGTTTCCTAAGCTTCTGTTTATTTTTTTTTTCCACCCTAGTTTCTCTCTGTTGTTCAGATTGGGTAATTTCTATCAATTTATCTTCAAGTTTACTGATCCTTTTATCTGTGTTCTCTATTCTTATGTTAAGTCTGTTCAGTGAGTTTTGAATTATGCTTATCATATTTTTTAGTTCCAGGGTTTTTCTTTGATTCTTCTTTTTATATTTACTATTTCTTTGTTGACACTTCCTATTTCTTTTCCTTTGTTTTAAACATGATGGCAATTGCTCATGGAGATGCATTTATGATGGCTGCTTTAAAATCTTTGTCAAATAATTTCAACATTTGTGTTATCTCAGTGTTGGTACCTGCTGATTGCCTTTGCTCATTCAAGTTAAAACTTTTTCTATTTCTTTGTATGATGATTTATATTCAGATATATCCTGGGCATCTAATTCTTATTTATTCTGTTCTGTTATTGTTGTTATATCATGCTTTTAAATTTATATTATTTTATTTAATTAATTACTTGTTTCTTCCAACTTTTATTTTAGGTTCAGAGGTTATATCTGCAGGATTGTTACATGGGTAAATTGTGTGTTGCTGGGGTTTGGTGTACAAATTATTTCATCATGCAGGTAGTAAGCATAATAATCAATAGGTAGTTTTTGGTTCTCACACTCCTCCCACCCTCAACCCTCAAGTAAGCCCCAGTATGTATTGTTCCTCTCTTTGTGTCCATATGTACTCAGTGTTTAGCTCCCACTTATAAGTGAGAACATGAGGTATTTGGTTTTCTGTTCCTGCGTTCATTTGCTTAGTATAATGGCCTGTGGCTGCATGGCTGCATCCATATTGCTGCAAAAACCATGGTTTCATTTTGTTTTCTGGCTCCATAGCATTCCATGGTGTATATTTACCACATTTTCTATATCCAGTCCACTGTTGATGGACATCTAGGTTGATTCCATGACTATTGTGAAAATTGCTGCAAGGAACATATGCATGCATGTGTCTTTATGGCAGAACGATTTGTATTCCTTTGGGTATAATATACCCAGTAATGGGATTGCTGGGTCATATGGTAGTTCTGTCTTAATTTTTTTGAGAAATCTCAAAACTGCTTTCCACAGTGGCTGAACTAATTTACATTCCCACCAGCAGTGTATAAGCATCCCTTTTCTCCACAACCTCAACAACATCTGCTGTTTTTTGACTTTTTAATAATAGCCATTCTGACTGGTTTGAGATGATATCTTATTGTGGTTTTTCATTTCCCATTTCCCTGATTAGTGATGTTGAGCATTTGTCCATATGTTTGTTGGTTGCTTGTATGTCTTCTTTTGAGAAATGTCTGTTCCTGTCTGTATTAGGCTGTTCTTACACTGCTATAAAAAATACCTGAGCCTGGCATGGTGGCTCACATCGGTAACCTCAGCACTTTGGGAGGTCAAGGGAGGTGGATCAGTAGAGCTCAGAAGTTCAAGACCAGCTTGGGCAACATAGTGAAATCCTGTCTCTGCCAGAAATATACACATTAGCCGGTGTGGTGGTGTGCGCCTGCAGTCCCAGCTACTTGGAAGCTGTAAGGCAGGAGGATTGCTTGAACCCAGGACGTTGAGGCTGCAGTGCACCTCCTGCACTCCAGCTTGAGTGAAAGAGCAAAACCCTGTCTCCAAAAACAAACAAACCAACCAAGCAAACAAAAAGCCAGTATTAGATAATGTATAAAGAAAAAAGGTTAATTGGCTCACGATTCTGCTGGCTTTATGGGCAGCGTGGTGCTTACAATCATGGCAGAAGCTTACAATCATGGCAGAAGGTGAAGTATGAAATGGGAGGGAGCAGGTACATCACATGGTGAAAGCAGGAGCAAGAGGGGTAGAGTGGTAGGAGAGGTGCCATACACTTTCAAACAATCAGATCTCACAAGAGCTCACTCACTATTGCAAAGATAGCTCCAAGCCATGAGTGATTGGCTCCCCTGACCAGCTCCCATGATCTGAACACCTCCCACCAGGTCCTGCCTTCAGCATTGGGGATGACAACACAACATGAGATTTGGGTGGGGACAAATAGCCAAATTATATCACTCTGCTCCTGGCCACTCCCAAATCTCATGTCTTCTCACATTGCAAAATACAACTATGCCTTCCTAACAGTCCTCCAAAGTCTTAACTAATTCCAGCTTTAACTCAAAAGTTCAAAGTTGGCCAGATGCAGTGGCTCACACCTATAATCCCAGCATTTGGAAGGTCAAGGTGGGTGGATTTCTCGACCCCAGGAGTTTGAGACCAGTCTGGGTAATGTGGCAAAACTGCATCTCTACAAAAAAATTTAAAAAAATTAGCTAGGCTTTGTGGCATATGCCTATAGTTCCAACTATTTGGGAGGTTGAGGTGGGAAGATTGATTGAGCTTGGGAGGTTGAGGTTGCAGTGAGCCATGATTGCACCACTGCACTCCAGTCTGTGTGACACAGAAAGATTTCATCTAGGGAAAAAAAAAAAGTCTGAAGTCCATAGTCTCATTTGAGATAAGACTTTCCACTTCATCAACCTGGATTTCACTGTCGATATAACTATCAGCATTTTGGTCACAACCATTTAACCAGTCTCTAAGAAATTTCAGACTTGATCTTATCTTTCTGTCTTCTGAGCCTTCCAAATTCTTGCATCCTTTACCTGTTACTCAGTTGCCAAGTCGCTAGCACATTTTCCGATATCTTTATAGCAATGCCCCACTCATAGTTACCAATTTTCTGTGTAAGGCTGTTCTTGCATCGTTATTAAGAAATATCTGAGGCTGGGTAATTTATTAGAGAAGACGAGGCCGGGCGCGGTGGCTCAAGCCTGTAATCCCAGCACTTTGGGAGGCCGAGGCGGGTGGATCACGAGGTCAGGAGATCGAGACCATCCTGGCTAACACGGTGAAACCCCGTCTCTACTAAAAATACAAAAAACTAGCTGGGCGTGGTGGCGGGCGCCTGTAGTCCCAGCTACTCGGAGGCTGAGGCAGGAGAATGGCGTGAACCCGGGAGGCGGAGCTTGCAGTGAGCCGAGATCGCGCCACTGCACTCCAGCCTGGGCGACACAGCGAGACTCCGTCTCAAAAAAAAAAAAAAAAAAAAAAAGAAAAAAAAAAGAGAAGACGTTTAATTGGTTCATGACTTTTCAGACTTTATAGTAAGCATGATGCCAGCATTAACTTGGCTCCTAGGGAGGCATCAGGAAGTTAATAATCATGGTGGCAGGTGAAAGGGGAGGAGGAACATCATGTGGTGAAAACAGGAGCAAGAGAGAGAGTGGAAGGAGGTACCACACGCTTTTAAACAACCAGATACTGTGACAGCTCACTCGCTATTGCAAAGACAACACTACACCATCAGGGATCCGTTACCCAAACAACTCCCACCAGCCTCACCTCTAGCAATGGAGATTAAACTTCAACATGAGATTTGAGAGGGGACAAATATTCAAACTATATCTATGTTATTTTTCCCCATTTTTAAATGGAGTTGTTTTTTGCTTGTTGATTTAAGATTTCTTATAGATTCTTATAGATATTAGAACTCTGTTAGATGCATAGTTTGCTAATATTTTTTCCTATTCTGTAGATTGTCTATTTATTCTGT